AATCCAGATCCTATCAACATTTTTTAAGGATATGGAAAAACCAGTCACTAACTTTATATGGAAAGGAAAGAGATCTTGGATAAGCAAAGCACTAATGAAAAAGAAAAAAGGTCTCACACTGCAGAATCTCAAAGCCTATTATATAGTCACAGCAGTCAAAACTGTCTCGTATTGGTACAATGACAGACACATAGACCAATGGAATGGAATAGAATAGAATTGAGAACCCAGAAATAGGTCAATCTGGTCAGCTGATATTTGACAAAGGGGTGAAATCCATTAAATGGGGAAGAGAATGTTTGTTTAATAAATGGTGCTGACAAAACTGGATAGCCATTTGTAGAAAAATGAAACAAGGTCTGTACCTCACACCATACATGAAACAAGGTCTGTACCTCACACCATACACAAAAACTAACTCCAGATGGTTCAAAAACTTAAATGTGAAACCTAAAACTATAAAGTTCCTCAAGGAAAAACTAGGGGCAAATTTAGGAGCCTTAATATATAGCATAAATAGACTGTCAAGCATACCCAAAATGCACAAACAGCATAAGAGAAACTAGATGAATGGGACCTTCTAAAAATTAAATTTTTATTCTTTCCAAAGACTTCTCCAAAAGAGTTAAAAGAGAACCTACAGATTGGGAAAAAATATTTGGCAATGACATTATCTGACAAGGGACTTATCTCTAAAATTTATAGAAAACTCCAGCACCTCAATAACAAAAAGACAAATAATCCAATTAAAAAATGGGGAGATGATATGAATAGATACTTCACTAAAGAGGATATTCAGGTGGCTAACAAACATATGAAGAAATGCTCATGATCATTAGCTGTTAGAGACACGCAAATCAAAACAACGAGATACCATCTTGCCCCAGTAATAGCAGCAAAGCTCAATAAGACAGAAAATAACAAATGCTGGTAAGGAGGTGGAGAGATTGAGACTCTCATACACTGCTGGTGGGACTGTAAAATGATATAACCACTGTGGAAAGCAGTATGGCTATTCTTTAAAAAGTTGGAATCAGAAATACCATTTGATCCAGCCATTCCATTACTAGGTATATATCCTAAAGAAGTGAGAGCCATGACAAGAACAGATATATGCAAACCCACGTTCATCGCAGCACTATTACCAATAGCCAAAAGATGGAAACAACCTAGGCGTTCATCAACTGAGGAATGGATAACCAAACTATGGTACATGCACACAATGGAATGCTATGCAACCCTAAAGAATAATGTAGAATCTGCAAAACACCACATAACATGGATGAACTTGGAGGACATTATGCTGAGTGAAAATAAGTCAATCACTTCTAGAAAGACAAATATTGTATTAGTCCGTTACTGTAAAAGTCAAGGAAAGGTTTATCTATGGAAGGAAATTTTCTTTGTTGGTTACCAGGGGTGGGAGGAGTGGCCCCTAACTGCCCTTCAGGTCTGGAATTGAACCCACACCTGTGGCTTCTGGCCAAACAAAGGACAGGCATATGAGGTGAACATTTACCTGAGGTAGGTACACTCCCTGGAGAGATCAATCATGGAAGAAAGAAGGGCTGTTTATGCACAGGGAGACAGCTCAGGAGGCAGGAGTGCATGGAGGGATGGACACAGGGAAGAGGTAATTGTGGGAAGGGGAGCCGTTGCATTGTGGTAAACTGTAGTCAATGTCATGAGACAAAGTATATGTGAACTTCTGTATGGAAAGTGAATTTGCTCTGTAAATTTTCACCCAAATCACAATTAAAAAAAAAAAAAAGAGCTTCATTGAGACTTAATGGAGGCGATAATGATAATAACCAAAAAGCAAACCAAACTCACTGCCGTCGAGTCGGATCTGAGTCATAGCAACCCCTCCTTGGGTTTCCGAGGTGGTATCATTACCCAACCTTCCTTCTGAGGAGTGGCTAGTGATGGTGAAAAATGATGATGATAATAAACACTTAGGTAGCAAACAATATTATTTCATTTTATAAATGAGGAAAATAAGCAGGGCAAGGAGGGTAAGTAACTTGCAAAAAGCCACATAAGTAGTAGACTTCAAATGTGAACCAAACTACTTAAAGTCCAAGTACATATAAGCAGTTAGGAGAAAAAGAAGCAAGTGAATCTGACTTTAAAGGTGATTTCTTAGGGTGACTGAGTGGATGTTAAAGCCAGCTATAATTCTACTGTGGCCTTTTACATTAAGTGCATAGTAATGTGACTGAGCCTATGAACAGCCAGTGACATTTTGTCCTCAAAGCACTCAATTTCTGGACTTCCAGATTGAATGGGAAGTGTTTATATTTGTCAAATTGTGTTCAAACTTAAAACCAAAGGTGACTCTAGCAAACTTCTTAGATACCTACAATCTTACCAAGATTTCTGTAATTCCCAGTATTATTATCTAAAGACAGACGCTGGTCAAATATTCAGTATCTGAGCTGAAATTGTCAGTATTATGTCTGACTTGCTGAAAATCTTTCATCTTAAATCTTCTTTATCCCACATTAAGTTTTTTTTTTCTTAATCCACCTACTAATTCATTCAACAATGCTTACTGAGATCTAACTACCTTAACAGTGATTCAGAAACAAGCTCTTGCACTAATGGGGGAGACAGATGTAGAAATAATAGAACAAGATAAGGTGTATCAGCTTTACAAAGTACAGTTTAAAGGCAAAGAAAGAAAAAGTAACAGAAAATTGAGGAAGCATTTGAGGATGTGACTTAAAGACCTGGTTTTTAAAATTTGTCAAGAGGAAATAATGAATTCAGTTCCTAAACGTGCAAGAGTTTCAAGATAATTACATGGACAGACCCAGTAGACCATTATAAATATAAGACAGAGCTCAGGAAAGGAGGATAGATTTTAAAATCACTAGCAAGATGGAAAATGAAGTATGGGGATAGAGGAGATAATCTTAGGGGGGGTATTAAACAATCAAGGTGAGACTTTATTTCATTCCACTTGAGATTTACATATATGTGAAATATACACTGTTTTCAAAGCAAATATCCATGAACTATGTTGTTGTTGTTGTTACGTGCCGTCAAGACCCGACTCACTGCGAACCCTCCTTGGATTTCCAAGGAGGTATCACTATGGAAGTAGATTGCCCAACCTTCCTTCCAAGGAGTGGCTGGTGGGTTTGAACTGCCAGCCTTCTGGTTAGCAATCAAGTGTCTTAGGCACTATGCTACCAGAGCTCCTTCCATGAACTATCGGAAATAAAAATCCCAATGCAAATAACCTATGAGCAAAGAGCAAGCTGCTATCTAGTACTCTTTTATCAAATATGCGCAGCATGAATAGAAATATGGCTAAAAATACAAAATATTTAATTGTACTTTAAAGAAGTGATTGTATGTTAACAATTACCTTTTAAAAAGTCGTAAGAACCCACACAATGAAAAAATATACATCAAAACGTTAACAGTGCACTTCAGCTTCTAGCCACGAGGGAGTAACAGGGTCATGATTAACCCTTCCTGATGTTAACAAGTGGAAAATGGATAAGATATATCACACAATTTTTTATCAGATATTTGATAACAAGCAGCACAGGAAGGCAACATAAAAAAAAATGTTTAGCGAAACAGTAAGCAAATTTCCTAGCAGACCTAGACAACAAGAAATGCTAAAATAAGTTCTTTGGAGGAAAAAATAAATGGTTACCAGATGTAAACCTGGATTCACAGAAGGAATAAAGAGCAATGGAAATGATAAACATGTGGGTACAAAAAATATTTTTTCTCATTTTAAATTTCTTCAAAATATTAATAGTGGCTGTTTGGGGATTGTAAGGAGCTCTGGTGGCATAGTGATTAAAGCATTCAGCTGCAATCTGCTTCTGTGAAGATTTACAGTCTTGGAAACCCTATGGGATAGTTCTACTCTGACCTATAGGGTCAGGTCACTATGAGTCAGAATTGGCGCAGTGGCAGAGGTTTGGATTTTTTGTCTTGTTTTGTTTAATGGATTACAGGAAGATGAAATTCTTTGCCACTTTCTTTTTCAGTACCTTACAAAAGTCCACAGTGAATATGGGCTACTACTGGCTTTGCCTTGCTCTGGATTATCAGGAAGATGTCCTACATGGGTCACATCAAAAAATCTCCTTTTCCCTGAAGATTCTAGTTGGGTTTGGCTGATGGCAAATATTAAAGAACTCTAGGAGATTGGAAAAATCAATGGACTGAAGCATTCCCTTCATTTCCCCATGCTGGAAAATGTTGAAATAAACATTTTTTCACAAAGCACTCTAGCAATGACCCAAATACCTAAAGAAATGTATAACTTTCCACACTGATACACAGAATGAAACAGAGGAAAAAAAATTACTTGACATCATCTAGTCTTTAAAGACACTTTGATAAAATATCCTTTAAGAGAAAAGAAAAATCGTTTTTAGCTTATACTAAACATATTATATACTATGCTATATTATTTAACTTAAGTTATACCTTAAATAATATTAAAAAAACAAAGCAGGGCTGAATGGCAGCACATTCTAAGAACTGACAATGGTCTGATTATCTATATTCAATTTTTAAATTTGGGAGCTACTGATATTCAGCCATTTCTTTTAATTCCAATAAATGTGTTAATTTCAGAAAAACGAAATACTATTTCAATTAATCATAAAATACTTTACTCCAAAATAACATACAAAACTGTAACATTCAATAAAAGGCAGAGTCATTTGAAGCCATCAAACCAAGTACACATCTTACCTTGGCTTAAAATTGTACTGAAAAAAAAAAAAAAAAAGAAAGAAAGAAACCAGTTGCTGTCACTAAGAAAACAGGTTTGACAGCAATTACTTGAAGAAACAGCAACTGCACTTAATGGGATGGTTTTACAATATTACATTTTCATATATAACTGGAGTAAAAAACACAACTATAGACAACTAAATATGAAGATTATTTGTGACACATCACAATCAATTATGCAGAATTTTAAAGTATAAATACATACATGTATTTTTTTTTTTTTTTACCTGTTTTGCAATTTCTCTTAAACAGGCTACTCCTTGTTCAAAATTAGGGAAAGCTACTGAGCCATACTTTTGGTATTCAGGGATTGGTCTGATTTTTATTGTAGCTTCTGTTATCACACCAAGAGTTCCTGAAAAAGAAGGGGGAATAATCCAATACATCACATGCTAATTTTCTAAATCATATTTGAATCTATTCTATTTGTGGAATCATGGTTACTTAAGTTCTTTGAGAAAAACAACAAATTTTATCATTTGCAAAAATAAGTTTTTTGGAATACATTATTCTCGGTTACAGAAAAATATATTAAAGGTAACTTTCCTTCAAGAAAATTTCTTTGAAATGGTTTAAAAAGTATTAAGTTTTATTAAATGGCAAAAAAAAAAAAAAGTAGGTTTTTGTATCTTGTATGTATTCAGCCAAAAGTATATTTTGATATTTATGCCTATTTATACCTTGAAAACAATTTAATGGGGTAAAAAGAACCTATCCTTCTATGAGAATGTAAGATTTTAGAAGAAATTAGAGTGAATGTCACCCTTTAATATAGCAGTGTCTCTTTTCCTAAAAATTCATACCAAAAAATAAATAAAGGACAATGGCAATACTGAGATCTCCTTGTAAGAAAGAGATGACAGATACTCCAGAAAGAAAACAGATATCATAAATATCCAGCACAAGAGGACCACCAATGAAACAAAAGTTTTTTTTTCTTTACTACATCGGGGACAGGGCAAATAATCAATGAGGAAAAAAAGATAAGTAAAATATAACCACATGAGCTAAATTATCTCTGCTAAAATATTCGAAGCAACATGGTTAAAAACTACTATATTCAAAAAGCACAGATTTTTCACATCAGTGGTTTCTAATATATACACCATAGGAATTATAATAATGTTACTAGTAAATGTTTCTGAGAACCAAAAAAAAAGTAAAAGGGAGAAGTCTTTGAAATCCCAGAATTACAACACTAAAAAATAAGTAAAAACTATCACAAAAACCAAAGCTCCCAATAAATAAATAATATACCTAAAACAACCTGCCAACATACATTAGATCACAATATACTTTCCACATATGAGTGATTTCCTACTGAGAACATCAAATCTCACCCTATTACAACTTACACAAATAATCACAAAAGCCTTGCAACCTAGGCCCAATTAATATTTTACACACATACATATACACATATACATTCATTCATTCTTGTAAATTCTAAAAGATAACAAGTGATTAGATTTTCTCTGATTTTAGCATCTTTATCGAGATGTAACTCACATACCATAAAATTCACCCACTTACAACGTAAAATTTAATAGTTTTCAAGATATTCATAGAGTTGTGCAACCACAATCTAAGTTTAGATCACTTTCATCACACCAAAAAAGAAATTCTGTACCTATTAAGGAGGAACTCCTCATTCTCCCCACACCACAACCCTAGGCAAACACCAATTCAATTTTCTGTCTTTATAAATTTACCTACTCTGTATTTTATATAAAGGAAATCTTATGTGTTGAGTTATCACTGGTTTCTTTCACTGAGCACGTTTTCAAGGTTCATCCATGTTGAAACATGTATCAGTACTGCATTCCTTAATTACTGCATAATACTCCATTGTGTGGTGTACATCATTTTGTTTATCCATTTATCAGTGATAGACATTTGGGTTGTTTCCACTTTCTGGCTACTATGAATAATGCTGCTATGAACATGCAATACAAGTTTTTGTGTGGAAATATATTTTCCTTTCTCTTGGGCATACACTTAAAGACTCCTTAATTTCAGAAAAATCTTTGATATAATCCTAGATAATACCCTTAAAAAAGAACCACTGCCATCAAGCCAATTCCAACTCACAGACAATACTCATAAGTGTTATAAAAAACAGAACAAACTAACTATTTTCAAACCTTTTTACTCATGATAAATACTGCTCTTTGTCCTTTTTCCTCATTCTCAAAATGAATAGGCTATGTAAATGGTTCAGAATCCCAAGCCCAATTGTCCTATTTGGACTAGAAAAAAATATATCTCTTTCCAAAGTCCAGGAAAAGGAAGAACCTGCTTTCACTGCGTGTTCATTCAAAAAAAAAAAAAAAAACTCTCTGCCGTCGAGTTGGATTCAACTCCTAGCAACACCTCCTTGGGTTTCTGAGGCAGTATCTCTACGGAAGTACATTACTCAATCTTCCTTCCAAGGAGTGGCTGGTGGGTTTGAACCACCAGCCTTCTGGTTAGCAGTCAAATGCCTTAGGCACTATGCCACCAGAGCTCCCTGCTTGTTTATAGCTATGTTATTTCCTAGAGTGTTTATAATGAAAATATTAGTCTTTCCCACGTATCTGTCATCATATTCAGATTAGAAAATTGAGCACTAAACTTATCACCTCCAACCAGAATTAATTTTATGTGACGTCTACAGGCTAACCAAACACATAAATATTTTCAAAGGGATTTCTTACATTATGTGTTAGTACATTTTAAAAAAAGAAGAAAAGATTTTTATTTAGTAGGGTAATATAAAGCATAACCAAAACCAAACCAAACTCACTGCCGTGGAGTCAGATCCAACTCATAGCGACCCCTCCTTGGGTTTCCTAGGCAGTATCACTACAGAAGTAGATCGTCCCATCTTTCTTCCGAGAAGTGGCTGGTGGGTTTGAACCGCCAGCCTCCCGGTTAGCAGTCAAATGCCTTAGGCAATATGCCACTAGAGCTCCTAATATAAAGCATAGCACTTTAAATATTTTTTTTTTAATAAGATGGGAGACAATGATTTAGGAAAAAATCAAGAATTCTTCTCGTAAAACAAGAATTTATAAAAATAATAAAACAAATGTGCCACTAGAAATTAAATTTCCTACTGTCTAGGCCCTTACTCAAAATACTATTAAAATTCATTTAACTATGGAATTCTTTCTAAAATAAAAGTTTTCAAACAACAAGAAAAAGAACTAAGTCAGGCTCTTTAATAAGACTTTTAAAGAAAGTATAAAAAGATTGTGTTAGTTTAGTCTGCACAAAAGAAAACTAACAAGGGAGAATATAAGTAGTATCAATTTTCTATCACTGAGAATGAAAGAAAAATGAACATTTTAAAGTATCACGAAATATTTTTTGGCAGAAGTAAGAAGTAACTAGTATAGGGACAGACTTTTGATAGGACAGTGTAAGGAACTCTACAGATCCACTCCCCAGCAAAAATGGTGAAAATTCTAAGAAAAACAACCATTAAAGTCTCTGGAAATAGTCCTAAAGATGTAAAGTAAATGGAGAAACATCTATTCAAGGGAATCTGCTAAAATTTGATAAAAACAGCAAAACCAAACCAAATTCACTGCCGTCAAGTCGATCCCAACTCATAGTGACCCCTCCTTGGGTTTCTGAGGTGGTATCTGTACGGAAGTAGACTGCTCACTCTTCCTTCCAAGGAGTGGCTGGTGGGTTTGAACTGCCAGCCTTCTGATCAGCAGTCAAATGCCTTAGGCACTACGCTACCAGAACTCCCAAGAGTCTGTTATTTGAGCCAAGAGGACTCTCTTCCCCTGCCTTTCTAGCTCAGTAAGAGGGAAATTCCACTCCAGATTAGCATACAGGCAAGAACCAGAGATCTCTCCCCCTGCTTCCCTAGATGCCAGCTATAGGGCTATCTTACTGGAAGGGCAAGACATCAGTATTTCTCATCTTGCCCCCAGCTATTTATTATGGAGACTAACTTCCTGGAGAGTGTAGAAAGGAGGTGGGGGGTTCCTTTCATGCACTCAGCTTCCACTGATAGGACAAAGGTTCAAGCTTGAGCACAGCACCACTGAGAATATTAGGGCCATGACTGCCCTGGAAGGAGTCCTGGTGGCACAGTGGTTAAGAGCTTGGCTGCTACCTGAAAGTTGGACGTTCAAACGTACCAGCTGCTTCATAGGAGAAAAATGTGGCAGTCCACTTCCATAAAGATTACACAGCCTTGGAAACCTTATGGAGTTCTACTTTGTCCTATAGGCAACTAAGAGTCAGAATTGACTTGACGGCAATGGGTTTGGGTTTGGTTTTGATCACCTTCTCAACAGGTCATAAGGAGCTGGTTCCATGTTAAGAGAGAAGACCTGAGGTTACTGTCCTCCTTACCTAACACTCAGGTCAAAAAGCAAGGCCACCACTCAGAGAGGAGCACTCTACTACCACAGTCATCATCCCAATCCCCAGAGCCACCACTCAGAGAATTTTCCTGTGGGGAGAATCAGGCCATAAAACAGCTCCTAATCTCTTTCCATACTAACTAAATTCATTTGCAACACAACATGGAGAAGTTTATGACTAAGGGCACTCTCAAAAATAGAAGACAATGTGGTAAAAGGCAATTGGGATTAGATTAGAAGATTCATTGCAGATATAGGCTAAATTGTAGGCTGGCTCATTTGCTGAAGAGAAGATGGGGAAAAAACAGTGGGGAGGAGCTTTCCTGGAGTCAAAACAAATCACAAACACAGACTTCAGGAACTCTCTCTTCTACTAGTAAACCAGTCTCCACCAGTGAAGTTCGCCTCATGAGGACCGGCCATGTGTGGCAGAGTAGCATGGTGCTCCACGGGGTTTTCAGTGGCTGGTTTTTCAGAAGCAGATCACCAGCCCTTTCTTCCTGGGTACCTCTGGGTGGGCACAAACCTCAAATTTTTGCTTTTTAAGAAGACTGGATTTGGTTATATTAGTATGTGGAACAATTTATACCCGAGTATTGTTAAAAACAATAAAGCAATCAGGCTGTAATTGTTGTTGTTGTTACGTGCCATCCAGTCGGACCCCACTCACAGCAACCCCTCCTTGGGTTTCCGAGGCAGTATCACGGAAGTAGATTGCCCCATCTTCCTTCCGAAGAGTGGCTGGTGGTTCAAAACCATCTGGTTAACAATCAAATGCCTTAGGCTGTAATTAGTAGCAATTAATTGCTGGGTATGATCAGGAAAAGATGGCCAAAGACACTTCTGCCAAAACCAGTGTCATCTCAAGGTGACTGGGCATATCTAAAACTGTACACCCCCCCCCAGGAACAACATCAAAGAGTTAACAGCAGGGACTGGGAGCAGGGGCCAGATTTCATCCACAGGGATGTTTAGAAGACAATACTAG